CATGGACTTCATCATGGCTCAGGTGACTAGTTTCCCCCAATCACAGTTACCCTAGATTAGGTATTCTCCTTTATTTTACCTCATTTCTGATCAGCCACCAATTCCTGTTGGCTTTATCTTTTAAATATTTCTCACCTCCATGCCCTATCCTCTAAACCTCTGCCCTGATTCAAGCCATCACTGATAGAGATAAACAAGACTCTTCAGCAAAAAGCCCCAGGAGCTATTTCTAAACTGCATGATACCAGGGCCACTGGGCCTGTCCCCCTACTGCCCTCTTTGAGCAGTAAGAAGGGCTGCACCTGAATTCTACTTCTGACAGGTCCTATGATTTCCTTTTCCACAAAAGAGGAGCTACAATTTTCCACAGTGCCAAAGCCCAGAGGAGCTGGGCTTTTCAAACCACCCTGCAAATAGCTGATATCCAAAATCAGGCTAAGAGGTGTGTGCAAGTTTCCTGATGAGAGGGACTGGCTGTGGGGAAAACAGGGTCCTGCTCTAGTGGGCAGGGTCATGCTCCGTAAACCTTTAATCCAATTTGCTGATGGGTGGGCCTGTGCTCCCTCCCTGTTAGTTGTTAGGCTTGAGGCGACCCATTCCTGGAAAGGCAAACCAGTCCTGGAGTCCTCAGGCTCCACGGCAGAGCTGAAGAGGACCTCCAAGAGGACTTCTGGCAACACGGACCTCCCAGGTCTGCTGCTGCTGCCGCCGGCGCCCCTGTCTGCAGCGACCACTACCAACCCACTCCTCCGAAGGAGCCCCTCACACGCTCACAGGCAGGTCTGGCTCAGTCTCCTGTGGGGTCACAGCTCCTTTCCCCTGGCTCCTGGTACGCACAAGGCTTTGTCTGTGCCCTCCAAGAGTCTCTGTTTCCCCAAGTCGCGTGGAAGTTCTGTAATCAAATCCCACTGTCCTTCAAAGTCAGATTCCCTGCAGAGTCCCAGTCCCTTTGCCAGATCCTCAGGCTGGGAAGTCTGATGTGGGACCTAGGACATTTGCAACAGCGTGAGAAGTTCTTTGGTATTATTGTTCTTCCCGTCTGTGGGTCGCCCACCTGGTAGGTGATTTTAATGTGACTCTGCCCTCCTGTCATCTCATTGCTGCTTCTCCTATGTCCTTGGACATGGAGTATGTTTTTTGGTGGGTTCCAGTGTCCTTCTGTTGATGGATGTTGCAGCTAGTTGCAGTTTTGGTGTGCTCACAGGAGAAGATGAGTGAAAAAGCTGGCTTAAAACTCAACATTTTAAAAACTAGGATCATGGTACCCAGTCCCATCACTTCATAGCAAATTGATGGGGGAAAAGTGGAAACAGTGACAGATTTTATTTTCTTGGGCTCCAAAATCACTGCGGATGGTGACTGCAACCGTGAAATTAAAAGACACTTGCTCCTTGGAAGAAAATCTATGAAAAACCTAGACAGTGTATTAAAGACCAGAGATACCACTTTGCCAACAAACGTCCATATAGTCAAAGCTATTGTTTTTCCTATAGTCATGTATGGACGTGAGAGCTGAACCATAAAGAAGGCTGAGCACTGAAGAATTGCTGCTTTCAAACTGTGGTGCTCGAGAAGACTCTTGAGAGTCCTTTGGACAGCAAGGAGATCAATCCAGTCAGTCCTAAAGGAAATCAACCCTGAATATCCATTGGAAGGACTTGTTCTGAAGCTGAGACTCCAATACTTTGGCCACCTAATGCAAAAACAGACTTATTGGAAGAAACCCTGATGCTGGGAAAGACTGAGGGCAGGAGAAGAAGGGGACAACAGAGGATGAGATGGTTGGATGGTGTCACCGGCTCAATGGACGTGAGTTTGAGCAAACTCTGGGAGTGAAGGACAGGGAAGCCTGGTGTGCTGCAGTCCATGGGCTCACAAAGAGTCAGACATGGCTTAGCAACTGAACAAGAACAGCAAACTCAGGCTGCTCTCGAGGGCCCTAAGGCCACTTCTGCACTTGCCACATTAAAAAAGGAGAGGAACAGAGGGGCCGTGCGGCTTCTGGACACAAGCAAAGCCTCAGTGCGGCTGGCTAACTGTAGGTTCCCAGGCCCCACTCCTTGGAATGCTGACTGACTCTGCTGTCTCACATCTGTGATTTCAGAGAGCAGCGATGATGCTTCTGTTTACTGGTCATTTCTCCCCAGAGTGAGTGAAGTCGCTCAGTCATGTCTGACTTTTTGCTACCCCATGAACTGTAACCCACCAGGCTTCTCCATCCATGGGATTTTCCAGGCAAGAATACTGGAGTGGATTGCCATTTCCTTCTCCAGGGGATCTTCCCGACCCAGGAATTGAACTCCGGTCTCCTGCATTGCAGGCAGACTCTTTACCATCTGAGCCACCAGGGAAGCCTTTCTCCCCAGACCATCACCTATAAATCATTCACCCGTTCTGCTTTCCACACTGCCACCACCGTTTAGCCCAAGGCACTTTCTACCTAACACCTCCTTCTATATTCGAACCTAGAGAAAAAGGTCCGTATTTCTCAGGCTGGTATACAAGGCCCTGAACAGTTTAGCTCCAACTTTTCAGGCTCATTTTTGGCCATTCCTGCTCTCCTCCATCACTGCTTTACACACACACACACACACCTGCACTATTCTTTCCCCTTCTCACCCTCCATTCCACATAACACCAGACATATCACAACTCTGCTCATTGTCCTTGCCAGAAATAATCACTGTCACTCCGCTACCTTGTGATGCAAACTGAACACAAATTCGGCCTCTGTGAATCCTTCCTAATGCCCTCTCCTAGACTTGGCCCCTGCCCCCTCTCATCTCACAACGAGACAGCCATGTTATAACCCTCCTGAGACAGTGCCCTGCTCTCCTTGATGCCCTCGATTTACCAAAGGCCTGGCACAGAGTAGGCACTCAAACGTTTGCTCCAGAAATAAACAGTATAAAAAAATGATATCAGCTATTAGATGCATCAACCTGAATACTAGTGATAAGCCTTTTCGCCTCATGCCCTCTGGGTGTTCATTTTTTTATTATCTTCAGTCTAGTATCATCTGCTCTTGAAAGGGTTTCGCTGAGGATGAATCTGGATCTCCCTCTCCTCCTCTAGAGATTTTCCCATGCAGAGTTACCTAAAGTAAAATCATTATGTGCAATGCAGTGTTTTCTCTGAAAAACTCATCTGAAAGTCATTTTTTAGCCCTCAAGGTGTATTTTTCTGAAAGTGTACCTTAAACAATAACATAAATGCTTATGGGACACCAAATCAAATTAATGTTAATAGCAATAACAATAATCGTTTCCTTTAAAGTAATTGATTGAAGTCAAGAAATAGCCGAACCAGTTGACATGTAGTCAGAATTTTATATTTTTCATCAGAAAAACAATTCTCTACCAATGACAAATAACAGTAAGGCCACTAAAACTACCTGTCATGCATCTAATGAAGACAGATTCTCCAGCTACCACATATAATATGTAATATCCAAAAGCAGTGCTCTAATTCACAGCTAATTAGTGTCACGCCATTATGAGAGGTGTCACGGCCCTAACTCTCTCCCCAGATCAACGCAGACCTCACAAGAGCTGACAGCCTTGCAAGGATCACAACAAGCCAATTAGCACCCACCCCAACCTTGGGCGGCTGCTTCTCAGCGACTGCCCCAGCATCAATAAATCACGCTTCCTCATGAAGCTCTTCTCTGACAGCTAGGAACCATTGCCGCCGGAGGAATAACGACAATACTTCAAAGGAAAACTCATGTGGGAAAGACAGAGATAGAAAAGGGATATTATTTGCCTTCCTTTAGTGCACAACCATCAGCAAAATTGAAGACCATCAATTCAGACTGATTAGGAGACAAGTGCACTAAGAAATAAATTCATGACTGATATACCTGAAGATCGTTAGTGGTAATCAAAGTCAGCAATTGGCTTGTTCGTTCATTTGTTTGTTTGAATGTAGATATATCAAAGACCCGTTTTCCCCATTTTTCTCCTGTATCACCCTCCTTCTGGCAAATGAGAAAATTTCCCTTTCAGCAGAACATAAAGGTCTACATTTACTTGCCCCCCCCCCCCAGTGAATACACAGCAATCAGATAATTTGTTTGCAAGACTCTAAATGGTTTGACTTCATTGAAAAGGAATTTATAATGATATGCTGGTCTCCAAGTAGAGCCTACAAAGCTTCCTAAATCCATAGGCAAGCGCTAGAGTATTCTCAGCACATAACAGCCAATATCCTTGTAATTTTATTCTAAGCCTACAAAGCTGTTTTGTTCCATAATATTCTACTTAGAAAGTGTTCAGAACAGTCACTGTAGCCTGGGAATTATTTAAAGATATGACTCAAGTAATCCTACTTTTCCTGTGTTTTCCTCATGGAAATATTCTTCTTCTATATTTTTAATGCTAGGATCTAAAACATTTAATCTAGCTTTTGGCTGATGACTACCAAATATATATAAGCACCTGTAATGCTTAAGATAACTCTGAGGTCCCCTATGTTTCTTGTCTTCTAGGATATTATAAAGTAAACACATACTTGACTCTTAGCCAGAAAACTACATTTGACCAAATGTTACATGTCATGGGTTAATTAAGTGCATTGGCATTCAGAATTTCAATTCACTTTCTATTTACCAGGCAAATACAAATGAAATGTAAAAAAAAAAAAAAGGTATTATGACAAGATCAGTTCTGACAAGTTTAGACTCTGCTTCTTGCTTATCATTTCTCTAGGATAGGCTAGTAGATTATGCAAAAGTGCAAAAACACAGGCAGATCCATATAGTTTTCATTTCATACTTAGAGAGTATGTATTTGAAACTATTTATAGATACTACTAACCATAGATAGAAATTTTTTTTTTGCTAATTTCTATATTACTCGGGTGGTTCAGTACATTTATTGTTGGTACTATTCTGAAGATAAAGAAGGCAAACTTAAAATGAACATGTCCATGTTCACACAGAACGACATGACTACAGACTCTCAAATCCATACTTAAATCACACAAAGCAATTCCCATACCTGAAAGGGCGAAATCGCCTTTCTGACTTTCACTTTCTCTGATTAGAAAAGCTCCTGTCTGATTTTCTGAATATAATAGTTGTTTTTCAGCATCTGTTCTCTTGATAGCTCCAAAGAACCACCTAAAAAGAGAGAGAGAGATAAACTTTAATTAACCAATCAACATTCATTTTTTTTAAGGAGGAAGAAGTTTGGCAAGAAAGTATTTCAATACCACAGAGGCTTGATACTCTTCAGTGAAACTATAACAGGTAAAAAGAGTAGTTGTGGATACTTGACATGATTCTTCTGGATGTCTTCAATCCTCATCAGGAGTCTTTGATACATTACAAATAGGAATTTGGGTGATGTCCGCTACGACATCCCTTCTCACACGTGCATTCTGTCTGAGAAATCCTGTATTCACTTTCTGTCAAATGCAAAGCTTCCAAGGTGGGCTTACCACCACATGGTTAAGCCTGACATGCTTCATGCTCCATGCTCCAAAATTGCTCATCATCACTATCAGACCACTAACTCTCCTAACACCTCTGGGTGTTAGGAGGCAAACATTCCAATCCAGGGATTCATATATTTCACATCAAACTATGAACAGTCAAAAATGTAGTTCTTTGAGCTTTTCTTCTTCTTCTTTTTATTATTCCTTTTTGCAGCACACAGGGTTAGCTGTCCATAGCATGTGGGGTGTAGAATTTTAGTTCCCCAACCAGGGATCAAACCCATGTCCCCTAATTGCAAGGCAAGATTCTTAAACACTGGACCACTAGGGAAGCCCTTCTCTGGGCTTTAATTTCGACCTTTCCCCATCTCCATCGCTGTCAACTCCTCCAGTAATGTGAGATGATTTCACATGTTTAGAAGGAAGTTTTCATCCATGGAGTGAGTAAGTGAAAGTCACTCAGTCGTGTCTGACCCTTTGCGACCCATGGACTATATAGTCCATGGAGTCCTCCAGACCAGAATACTGGAGTGGGTAGCCTTTCCGTTCTCCAGGGGATCTTCCCAACCCAGGGATTGAACCCAGGTCTCCCACATTGTGGTTGGATTCTTTACCAGCTGAGCCACAAGGGAAGCCCAAGAATACTGGAGTGGGTAGCCTATCCCTTCTCCAGCGGATCTTCTCCACCCAGGAATTGAACTGGGGCCTACAGCATTGCAGGTGGATTCTTTACCAACTGAGCTATCAAGGAAGCCCCTTTATCCATGGAAAGATTATATGAAAAAGATACTTCTGCCTGGGTAGTATCTTCTCAGTGTCCCCTCCACTTCTTATCTTTATCCTCTTATCCATAACATTCCAGAACTACAAGAGTCAATAAATGTGACTGTGATGAACTCCAACAAAGAATTATGGATATTAATATCTGAGCCAGTTTAAAAACTATGTCAAGTCAGTAGACACCAATATGATAAAGAGGAAACTGAAATAGCCAGCTTTTCATGTATAAACTTTCACTATGGGGTTATAATTTGATCTTTATCATTAAAGATTTTAGGTAAAACATTTATCTTTCCAGGTTATCATCTTTTAAAATATAAGCACTCAAAAAGAAATGTAGGCTTGAGGGAAAAGATACAAGCTGAGTGAGGAACTGCAGGCTGGAAGAGGCCCTCAAAATTGGCTCCAATTGTTTGGCGAGGTCATGGGTATCAGGGAGTATGAGTGCATGAAGGGTGATATAATTGAAAGAAGAAGTGGAAGAAGTTGGAAAAAAAAAAGACATTAAAATATAATTACCTCCTGACAAAAGTAAGATGTTTGTTTACCATTTTCCTAATGATCAAATTTCAAATTGTATAATATTAACTGTATTAGCTAGGAAATGCCAGAGTATGTTAGAGCAATGAACAACTCCAAAAATCTCAGTGGTTTAGAGACAACAGAGGTTTATTTTGTACTCAGCTGCACATCCACTGAAGCTCATCTGTGCTACATCCATCTCTATGTCTACCAAAGAATTTCCATCTCCATGCTTCCATGACTAGCCAGGAAGGCAGGATTAGAAACTGTGGCAAATCACAGGCTGATTTCTGGAGCATCTATTTAAAGCTTCTGCTCAAGAATGAGCCTATGGACAAATAAGTTGTATGTTCATGCCTAAATGCAAAGAGAAAATGCAATCCTATGATTTCCTCAAAGGCAGAAAACTTGGAAACACTGTATAGACTACACTAATGACTACCACACTGATTCAATAACAGGAACCAAATTAATATCCATAGACTATTGTTTGCCCAATTGAAATTATAAAATGCTTGAACCTAGACAACATATTAAAAAGCAGAGACATTACTTCACCAACAAAGGTCCATCTAGTCAAGGCTATGGTTTTTCCAGTAGTCATGTATGTATGTGAGAGTTGGACTGAATATTCATTGGAAGGACTAATGCTGAAACTCCAATACTTTGACCACCTGATGTTAAGAACTGACTCATTTGAAAAGACCGTGATACTGGGAAAGATTGAAGGCAGGAGGAGAAGAGGACGACAGAGGATGAGATGTTGGATAGCAAAACCAACTTGATGGACATAAATTTGAGCAAGCTCCAGGAGTTGGTGATGGACAGGGAAGCCTGGCGTGCTGGAGTCCATGGGGTCTCAAAGAGTTGGCCACAACTGAGTGACTGAACTGAACTGATTGGAAATGTTCCAAGGTGGCGATGGAATAAATTCATAGAAAAATAGAAATTTATGTTTTCCGTCACTGCATAAATAAGTAAATAGAATAATGGAACATAATTAAAAACACAAACAGAACCAAACATATAAATTGGTGACGAAAGTATAGATTAGTCAATAAATGATGCTGGTACCATTCATAATCCATATGAAAATATTAATTGATGCTACTTACAGCATAACAATAATTTTACATAGATTAAAGACCTAATATAAAAAGCAGACTTTAAAACATTCTAAGGATGTTGGAGTAGGGAAGTTTTCCTCAACAATACAAAAAGAAAAGAAAGACATATAAGGCTTAAGGGGAAAGACTGATGATATTTATTGCATCACAATTAAAAGCTAACAACACCAAGATCACCATGAAATAAATTTTAAATATAAGCCACAGACCTGGAAAAGGTACTTGCACAGCATATAACCAAGAATAGGATTACTATTCAGATTATATAGAGATCTATATTCACTAAAAAAATTAATAAGTCACAGTATATACTATGACAAAAATTGACATAGTATATACTTGATAGCTGGCAGAAAAGAAAACCTAATAACCAGTAAAAAAAAAAAAAGGAAGTATAGCTTTTATCTATTGCCAGTAATTATGAATATTAAGAATATTTAAATATAAAAATGAAATGTGATTTCACTTTTCAGGCTGGACAAAATTTAAAACTTTCACATTCAGACATTGGGGAAAATATGAAACCAGAACCTTTATACAATACTAATACTAGTGGCAAGGTAATTGGTACAATTCATTCAGAGAGCATTTGGCAATACCTGGTAAAACTGAATATTTGTATACTACTTAATTTCATTTCTAGGTTGTATACTCTATGTGCTCAAGGAAATATACCACAAGAACATTTACTAAAGAATTCTCACACTGAAAACTGGAAACAACCTAAATGTTCACTTCAGGGGAATTGATAACTAAACTTAATTATGCACAAAAATGGATTACTATGTTGGAGTTAAAGCAAATATATTGTTGAGGGACAAAAGGAAATTCAAGGATGATTCATAACATTATAATGCCATTTATACAAAGTTTAAGCAAACACACTAAAAAAAGACATAGATTTTTATGGATAAATGCCTATTTAGTGAAAGCTAATGTTGAAAATTCTGAAAGATATGGGAATACCAGACCACCTGACCTGCCTCTTGAGAAATCTGCATACAGGTCAGGAAGCAACAGTTAGAACTGGACATGGAACAACAGACTGGTTCCAAATAGGAAAAGGAGTACGTCAAGGCTGTATGTTGTCACCCTGTTTATTTAACCTATATGCAGAGTACATCAAGAGAAACACTGGGCTGGATAAAGCACAAGCTGGAATCAAGATTGCTGGGAGAAATATCAATAACCCCAGATATGCAGCTACTGTTACCGTAACACCACCGTTACGGCAGAAAGTGAAGAACTAAAGAGCCTCTTGATGAAAGTGAAAGAAGAGAGTAGGGAAAGAAAAGTGAAAAAAGAGTGAAAAAAGTTGGCTTAAAGCTCAACATTCAGATCTGGTCCCATCCCTTCATGGCAAATAGATGGGGAAATGGTGGAAACAGTGACAGACTTTATTTTGGGGGGTTCCAGTGTCACTGCAGATGGTGACTGCAGCCATGAAATTAAAAGACATATACTCCTTGGAAGGAAAGTTATGACCAACCTAGACAGCATATTAAAAAGCAGAGACGTTACTTTGCCAACAAAGGTCCATCTAGTCAAGGCTATGGTTTTTCCAGTGGTCATGTATGGGTGTGAGAGCTGGATTATAAAGAAAGCTGAGTGCCGAAGAATTGATGCTTTTGAACTGTGGTGTTGGAGAAGACTCTTGAGAGTCCCTTGGACTGCAAGGAGATCCAACCAGTCCATCCTAAATGAGATCAGTCCTGAGTGTTCATTGGAAGGACTGATGCTGAAGCTGAAACTCCAATACTTTGGCCACCTGATGCAAAGAAGTGACTCATTTGAAGAAGCCCTGATGCCAGGAAAGATTGAAGGCAAGAGGAGAAGGGGCCGACAGAGGGTGAGATGGTTGGATGGCATCACTGACTCAATGGACACGAGTCTGAGCAAGCTCTGGGAGTTGGCAATGGACAGGGATCCCGGGCGTACTGCAGTCCATGGGGTCACAAAGTGTTGGACATGACTGAGTGACTGAACTGAACTGATAGTTAAAGTACTCAGGCAATTTCTTTTTAGACTCCATTTCCAGCAATGGCAAAATTTCTTCAGACAAATATTTCAAGCAAAGAAGCAACACGGATCAAATATACTGATCAATCCCATACATTTTCCTGATTTCTAGTGCATTAATTATCCAGCAACATTAAAATGTTTGGTCCAAATGTAAATATGTAAACCTCTATAAGAATTATCATTTATCTTGCAGATTAAATTCTTAGAAGTACAACTATTTCTCCTATATCTC